AGTTTCAGCTTCAGCATCAGTCCTTCCAATGAACACCCAGGACTGATCTCCTTTAGGATGGACTGGTTTGATCTCCTTGCAGTCCAAGGGATTCTCAAGAGTCTTCTCCAACACCACAGTTCAAAAGCATCAATTTTTGGGTGCTCAGCTTTCTTTATAGTCTAACACTCACATCCATACAAGACTACTGGAAAAACCATATCTTTGACTAGATGGACCTTAGTTGGCAAAGTAATGTCTCTGCTTTTTAATATGCTGTCTAGGTTGGTCATAGCTTTGCTTCCAAGGAGCAAATGTCTTTTAATTTCATGGCTGCAGACACCATCTGCAGTGATTCTGGAGCCTCCCAGAATAAAGTCGCTCACTGTTTCCATTGTTTCCCCTGATGCCCTAGTTTTAAATTTAAAAAATCCATTTTAAGAGGCAAATTGTTCCTCCCCAAACAATATCAGTGTGAGCAAACTCTTTCTTTTCAAGCTTTGACAAACATATATTCCACTTAAATTGCAAAGCATTCTGGGAAGAATTGGTTATAAAGTCAGCAATTTTAGATCCAGCCACAGGGGGCAGCATCTGCAAACCCGCCCTGCTTTTTAAGATGTATGAGTAAAATAGGGGTAAGTCTGATTATCTGTCTCAAATTGCAGTCACTCCTTTCTTTTTTTCTTTGCAAACGGCAGTGTAGACCATAAAAACGTGTGTGGGTCTGGAAAAGCTTGTACAACGGAAACCCTTTAGGAGCAGGCAGACTCAGCAACTCTTTCTGAAGAGGGAGAAGAGGGAAATGCTCCTCATAGCACCAGTGTTGATCTTATGGATGCAAATATCACGTGACTTTGGGGTTTCCCTGATTGCTTCCAGAGAATTCTGCACAGCGGAATCTTATCTGCAGGAAACTGTAGGGATGAGATTTTCTGATAGAGAGCAGGATGTTGAGAAAAACTCAGAAACTACAAAGTGGAAAGATGGAGGGAGTTGGGCAGGGAGACATGGAAAGAAGGAGAAAAATACACAAGAAGAATGAGAGAGACCGTTGGAGCTGAGAGAATAGACATCCGATTAGACTTTCTCTGATACTTCTCACTGTTTTCTCAACAGAAGTGAATGGACAACAGATAAGTCAAATCCCTCAATTCTTGTTTCTACAAGAAGGAGAGAACTTCACCACATACTGCAATTCCTCAAGCATTTTAACCACTTTACAGTGGTATAAGCAGAGCCCTGGGGGAAGTCCTGTCCTCTTGATGATATTAGCTAAGGGTGGAGAAGTGAAGACGGAGCAGAGACTGACAGGTCGGTCTGGAGAGACCAGAAAGCACAGCTCCCTGCACCTCATGGCCGCCCAGCCCTCAGATGTAGGAACCTACTTCCGTGCGGGGCACAGTGCTCTAGAAGCACCTGCTGTCTGTCCCCAAACCTCACTGTGGGCTCCAGGGGCCACTCTTCTTCCCCTCTTCTCAGAGCAGGGGCCAAAGAAAGTTGAAGTCACGTTATCTATGAAGAAACTGAATTTTTAATTTAAAAAATCCTCAGTGTTACTAGATAATTCTACCAATCTTTTGAAGTATTAGCGTGAATTATGCACTATTTCTTCCAGAAAAAAAAGAAAAGAATTCCTCACTCGTTTTATGAAGCTAGTGTTACCCTGAAATTAAAATCAAAGATCATAACAGAAAACTGCAGAGAAACATATTTCATGAATATAGACATAAAGTTTCTTAAAAATATTAGCAAATAAAATTCGTCTATATAAAAAGAGTAATATACCAAGCACAAATGGATATTTTTTCAAGGATGCAAATTACTTAAAATTGAAAATCAGTTGATGAAATTCACCACATTAACAGGATAAAAAAAGAAAAATTACATCATATTAATCTATGTAGACTAAACTTTTGCCGGAATTCAACAGTCAACTATGGTGAAGACTTTGAGAAGCGCAGGCACAGTGGGGAAGATCCTCCGTAGCGAACAGTGTGCTTACTAACGGAAGACTGTGTGTGTTTCCCCAAGACTGGGAACAAGGCAAGCACATCCACTCTCATCACTCTCCTTCAGCACAGTGCTAGACATCAGAGCCAGTGCAGTAAAGAAAGTAGGTGTAAAGACAGTTTTGGGCCAGAAAAGAAGTGAAACCGCCAGGTAATATAATTATCTATATAGAGAATCTCAAAGAACATACCCCCCAAAACTCTCAGACCTATTGAGTCCAGTAACACCATAGGAAATAAGATAAATGTATGTAGTCAACTGTATTTCTCTATATTAGCGATGGACATGTGGACCTCAAAATTAAAAGTATAATACCATTTACAATGACTCGAAAAGAGACCCCGAGTGGTCTTTTTTGTACAGAAAACATGTACATAATTTTTAAGCTGAAAACTACAAAACACTGATGAAATAACTTAGAGAAGACAGATGGAGAGACATCATGAGTTTGCAAACTGGATGTTTCAAAGCAGCGAACATGACAAGTCTCTCCAAATTTACATACATACATTATAGAACTCCTGCTAAAGTCCATCAGGATTTAAAAAACAAACACAGGCAAGATTATTCTAAAATTTATATGAACAGGGAGAGACACTGGAGTAATTTTTAAAATTTTGAAGAAATAATAAGTCAGAACAATCGGTCAATCTGGTTTCAGGCTACAGTTATTGCGGTTATTTGGTACTGGTGCAGGGATGAACACACAGTTCAGTGGAAATGAACAGAGAAAATACATACACACAAATATACCCAACTGACCTTTTCTGGCAAAGTGCCAAATACATTCAATAGAAGAAAGATAACCCTTTCAACACACAGTGTTGGAGAAAGTTGAAATCCACTGGCAGGAAAAATTAACCTTGATTCAGTGATGGGGAACACATGTAAATCCATGGCTGATTCATGTCAATTAATGGCAAAAACCACTACAATATTGTAAAGTAATTAGCCTCCAACTAATAAAAATAAATGGAAAAAAGAAAAGAAAAAAAGAAAAGAAAAGGCTGATTCATGTCAATTAATGACAAAACCCACTACAATATTGTAAAGTAATTAGCCTCCAACTAATAAAAATAAATGGAAAAAAGAAAAGAATACATTTGAATCAGTTCTAATGAGATGGATGAAACTGGAGCCCATTATACAGAGTGAAGTGAGCCAGAAAGAAAAACACCAATAGAGTATACTAACGCATATATATGGAATTTAGAAAGATGGTAACAATAACTCTATATGCAAGACAAAATAAGTGATACAGATGTTAGAACAGACTTTTGGACTCTGTAGGAGAAGGTGAGGGTGGGATAGTCTGAAAGAATAGCATTGAAACATGTATATTATCAATTGTGAAACGATCGCCAGTCCAGGTTTGAGGCGTGAGACAAGTGCTCAGGGATGGTGCACTAGGATGACCCAGAGGGATGGGGTGGGGAGGGAGGTGGGAGGGGGGTTCAGGAAGGGGAGCACATGTAAGTCCATGGCTGATTCATATCAATGTATGGCAATAACCACTACAACATAGTGAAGTAATTAGCCTTCAACTAATATAAATTAATGAAAAAAACATCTTGAAGAAATAAGAAGTCAGAACAATCGGCAATCTGATTTCAGGCTACAGTCATCGAGGTTATTTAGTACTGGTGCAGGGATAAATACACAGTTCAGTGGAAATGAACAGAGAAAATACATCCACACAAATATACCCAACTGACCTTTTCTGGAAAAGTGCCAAATAAATTTGATAGAAGAAAGATAACCCTTTCAACAGATAGTGTTGGGAAAAGTTGAAATCTATTGGCAGGAAAAATTAACGTTGATTTAGGTCTCACACTTCCTACATACATTCTTTAAAATGGATCACAGACTTAAATGTAAAATGTTAAATTATAAAAAAAAATTAGGAAAAAATACAGGACAAAATTTTGATATATGTATGGGCCAAGAGTCTTTGGACTTGACAACAAAAGAACAGTCAATAAAATTTTTTAAAAATGACAAACTAGACTTCAAAATTAAGATCTTTTGCCCTGCAAAGCAACCTGTAAGAGCATGAAAAGACAAGCAACCAACTGTGAAAAACGATTATTTGGAAACCATATATTCAACAAGGAGCTAGTATCTAGAATATATAAATAACTCTCAGAGTTAAACAGTATTTAAATAAGGCAAACATTTCACTTAGATAATGGGCAAAGAGCTATTTCACTAAAGAAGTATACAGATAGCAAATAAGCATATAAAAATATATCCAACATCATAAATCATCACAGAAATACAATTAAAACCACAATAAGATATCACTTAGAGCACATTCTAGTGTTTGTGTGGTAGCAGCCCAAGGTGGGGGCTTCCCAGGTGGCTGAGACGGTTCTGCCTGCAGTGTGGGAGACTGCAGTTCGATCCTGGGTCTGGAAGATCCTCTGGAGAAGGGAATGCCAACCCACTCCAGTATTCTTACCTGGAGAATCCCATGGACAGAGGAGCCTGGCAAACTACAGTCCACGGGGTTGCAAAGAGTTGGACAAAACTGAGTGACTCAAGGGAGAGGGAAGGAGCAGAAGGTGGATTTAATTTACATTTGTTGATGAGTAATGGTGTTGAACACATTTTCCTAAGCTTATTGGCCATTTGGGTGATTTCTTTTGAGAAGTATCACTTTGCATCATTTGATTATGTGTTTTTAGGTTGTAGATTATTTATTTTTACCATTTTAAAATGTATAGGCATGTTTGTTATTCTATATTCAAGTTGTTTATCAGATACGTGCATGTATATGTGTTCAGTCCACTTCAGTCATATCCTACTCTTTGCCACCCTATGGACTGTAGCCTGCCAGGCTTCTGTGTCCATGGAGATTCTCCAGGCAAGAATACTAGAGTGGGTTGCCATGCCCTCCTCCAGGGGATCTTCCCAAGCCAGGGATTGAACCCACGTCTCCTGCATCTCCTGCATTTCAGGCAGATTCTTTACCCAAGGAGCCACCTGGGAAGCCCGTATCAGATATACATAACACACATATTTTAACCCAGTCTATAACTTGTGTTTTCATTCTCTTGGTGGTGTATTTGGGAAACAGATATATTTAATTTTGAAAGAGTGAAATGTAATATTTTTCCTTTTCTGATTGGGTTTGTGTGTGTGCTTTTGAAGGAATCTATGCTGTCAAACTTATAAAGAAATTCTCTTGTATTTTTAAGAAGTTTTATAGTTTCACTGATCACATTTAGAACTTGTATCCATCTAGAGTTAATTTTTTTATGTTATGAGGAAGGAGTCAAAGTATTTTCAAAAGATGCAAATAGCCAGTTGCCAGAAATGCAATTAAAACCACAGTAAGATATCACTAAGAGCACATTCTAGTGTTTGTGTGGTCGCAGCACAGGGTGAGGGCTTCCCAGGTGGCTGAGACCGTAAAGAGTCTGCCTGCAGTGTGGGAGACCTGGGTTCAATCCCTGGGTCAGGAGGATCCCTTGGAGAAGGGCATGGCAGCCCACTCCACTATTCTTGCCTGGAGAATCGCAAGGACAGAGGAGGCTGACTAGCTACAGTTCATGATATCACAAAGAATCAGACATGGCTGAGCAACTGACACTGGCTGTTATCCCCGAAAGACCATCTTTTTCCCCATAGAAATGCATAGACACCTTTGGAGAAAATCAACTGATGGTGTGTACATGTGGGCCTATTTTTTTTATTTGATTCTGCTTACTCATCATTATTTTATCCTCTTTCCAACAGAACATTCTGTCCTTATTACTGGGGCTTCATATACATTTTGATATCTGGAAATGCAATTCAAACTTTTCTTCTTTTTCAAGGTTTATTTTAGGTCTTTTTGAATTTCCACCAAACTTACAGAATAAGCTTCTCAATGTCTACCAAAAAACATTGCTAGTAGTTGGAATGGGCTTGTGTTGAATTTATGGATTCATTTGGGACAATTTATATCTTGACATATGGAATCTTATGTTATTCCTTTTTATGTAGATCTTGTCTAATTTTTTTTTTTTTGGTAGAGGACTGTATACCTTGTGTTAAATTAATTTCCATGTATTTAATAAATGAAATTTAAATTTCACTTTCTAATGATTTCACTAGTATCTAGAAATAAAATTTATATTTGTGTTTAGTGACTGTATTAATTCACCTATTAGTTCTAGCTCTTGTAGTTTGCTTATAGACTCCTTTGCATTTTCTACATGCACCTATGAATAAAAATGGTTTATTTCTCTCTTTTCAGACTTAATACTTCTTATTTCCTTTCCTGGTTTGATGCCAGGCCCTTCAGGAAGACAATGAATAGAAGCAGTGATAGTCTGCCTGTCTTATTTGTGACCCTTTAGAGACTAATATTGATTTTTTATATTTTCATTGATACTCTTTATTAGATTCAGGAATTTCTCTTCCATTTCTGGACTGTTGAAAGTATCCATCATACAGAGGTATTAGCCTTTCATCAAGTCATCTTGATTTTCTGAAAGTAAGTTATGGGCATTATTTTGGTTTTCATCAAGCAAAGGAAGATCACCTCCCCTCATATGGTCTTAGAGATATAATCCTATAAAATTAAGAACCCTGAAAAGAGTCAATAGGCAAGAAAATATTTTTAGATTCCTCATGGTCATACAGAGTATTTTTTGTTTTTCAGTATTATTTAAAAGGACATTTGGTAGTCGTTTTTACCATCTTCTAAAAACAAAGGCAAAGAGCCCAACAAGCAAAAAATGTACTGGTAATTGCTTTTCTTCTGCTTTTTACTAATATAATTAACTAATACATTCGTACTTACTATAAATAATTCATTTTTATTTGTTCTTATATTTTCAGTAGTAGTGCTTGTTGGCTTACGTGTGTGTGTGTGTGTGTGTGTGTGTGTGATTTGCCCCAGAACAGGCTCCCAGTAAATACTTATGAATATTTGTTAAATGAATGAAGCATGATTACCATGACGTTTACTCCCATGTCTTCAATATAATTTTCCTCCATCTTAGATTTTGAGTGTTTTTTCCCTATTGTTGAATTTGCCCATAATTATAACCCTTTACTTACCCTGTTAGAGTCTTTTTGTTTAACATGCTTTCCATAAAACTGGAAGATTGTTTTCAGAATAGTGGCTCAGCACAATTTCTTTCTTTCACTAAATTCATGAACAAAGATTCAACTATTCATTCAGGAAACAGTCTTGAGTTCCCAGATTGTAACAACCTCTCTTATAAATGCTTGAATTATGTGGAGTTTTGAAGTAACCTTTAAATATGGGAAGGTTAAAGACAAATGGAAAAATGAAAGAGATGCCAACAATGGAGAATCATAATAGGGGTTTTACTGAAATAAAACAGTCAAAAATAATTGATGGCTAAGAAAACACAGGTGAGTACAAAGGCTTTACAAATAAGATTTATTTTTCTTTTGAACTTTTGATTTTTGTATTGAGGTACAGCCGATGAACAATGTTGTGATTGTTTCAGGTGAACAGTGAAGGGACTCAGGCATACATGTACATGTATCCATTCTCCCCCAAATTCCCCTCCCATCCAGGTAATGTTGAGGTCCTTTTTGGTTATCCATTTTAAATATAGCAGTGTATACATGGCCATCCCAAATTCCCTAACTATCCCTTTCCCCTTATGACAACCATGCATTTGTTTTCTAGGTCTGTGACTCTCGTTCTGCTTTGTAAGTAAGTTCATTTGTATCATTTCTTTTTAGATCTCACATATAAGGGATGCCATATGATATTTCTCCTTCTCTGTCTGACTTACTTCACTCAGTATGAAACTCTCTAGGTCCATCCGTGTTGCTACAGATGGCATTATTTCATTCTTTTTAATGGCTGAGCAATATTTCATTGTGTATATACACCACATCTTCTTTATACACTCCTCTGTCAATGAACATATAGGTTACTGCTTTTACCTTCAAATTTGAGCTTTTCCAAAGGTTGCATGCTCAGAGTGTTCGAGTTTGGGAAATGCGATGGACAGAGGAGCCTGGCGGTCTACAGTCCATGGGGTTTCCCAGGTAAGAATACTGGAGTGGGTTGCCATTTCCGTCTACAGGGCATCTTCCTGGTCCAGGGATCAAACCCGTCTCCCGCATCTCCTACACTGGCAGGTGTGTTCTTACTGCTAAGTCATCTGGGAATCCCCCCTTTAAAAGATTATATAGTAGTGCTATAGTGCTCAATCGTGTCCAACTTTTTGAGACCCCATGAACTGTTGTAGACTGCCAGGCTCCTCTGTCCATGGCATTCTTCAGGCAAGAATACTGGAGTGCATTGCCATTTCCTCCTCCAGGGGATCCTACCGACTCAGGCTAAACCTGCATCTCCAGCATCTTCTCCATTGACAGGCAGACTCTTTACTCCTGCTCCACATCAGTGGGCTTTTGGCCTGGGTTTAGTTCTGCAGTTCACTTACTCAGTCACTGGAGGGGGCTGCTTCAACAGAAAATGGTGGTCCTTTCTGGGGGAAGGAAAGGGCACATCCATTGATGTGCCAAAGAAAAAGGAAAAATGACATCCTTCCATTCTTTCTCTCTCTCTTTTTTTAATGTTTAAATGTTTATTTTCATGTTAAAAAGGATGAGTTACCCTGTGGTTAGAATACCTTTATGCTGAACAACAAAGTCACTTTTATTTCTGAAATAGTTCCAGAAAAAAAAAAAAAAAGAAAGAAAGAAAGAAAAAAGGAAATAGAAATCCAAAAGTAAGGAAGAGTAAGATCAAACTGTTCTGGTAGAGTCCATCCACAGTCCCAACAGAAGCCATTCCCTCTAAAGGCTGCATCTCTAATTCAGTGCATTTTGTAATATCAAGTACTGATGTCTCCCACCATCAATTTAGATATTTCTGAGCAGGATGTCTGTACATTTAAAAGCTACAGTTTTGCCTGCTTTTATTTGAAAAGGTATTTATTCCAACACACCTTTCAGTGTTTTAGTATATTGCCTATTTTGCATAAAAAATTATCTGCTCTCCATATTTGAGCATAACTTCTCTACCACTCATACTGGTCCTTTACATAACGGGTGACACGTGGTGTATCACATATAGTACAGTTTTGAGGGAGGAGATGGTTTTGGGGTTTATAGGTCACCTATCTTGCCATTTGCAGAGACTAGAATGGAGAACTGAGGCCGTTGTTGAGTTGATGAGAGTAGAAAGATGATGAAGGAAGGATACAGATGGAACCACCCTCTGTGGTCAGTGGAGTTGGAACAAGTGGTCTTCCCTGACAGAGACTTTACTGTGGTCCCAACATCCCAACATTGGGAAGATGTTATTTTCTTTTGACAGCTGTACTTTAGAATCCTTGGCTGAGGGTCCGTGGCCAAGGATTCCGGGGCATCTTAGCCCAATAGCCTAAGTCCTTTCCATGTACCTTCCTGACACTGCTTTCTCTGTTTCCCTCCTCTGATTATCTTTTCCCTTCCCTATTACTTACGCTTTTATCCCTTCCCCTGACTTTTCTACCATTTACACCCACCCTACACCCCACCCCGACTTTCTTTGCATTCCTTCCTGTCTTTTCTCTTTGCTTCAGCATCCTTGGTGCACAGTGCCTACAAGCATGGGCATAGAGAACATGAGGATTCATGATCACTCTTCAAGAAGAGTGAGGCGGACACCATCTGAGACATCAGTTACTGTATCAAGAACAGATGCTTTGAGAAATGTTTACCTAGATGGTGGTAGACACACGATTTCAAGGACCTTTCCAGGAGCCCAGAACTCCAGGTTGTATAGCTTTAGTCTCAACATTATTAATATTTTCTGTCCTCCAGAGAACATCACTGCCTGCTCTGGCGTTTCACATACATTTTCTGGAATGTGGATGGAAATTTTCATCTCCTTATAATACAGAGCTCAGTACAGCTTTCTGGTATTAATTGATGTTTTCCATAAGCTTCATAGAACACCAGCCAATTTCTTTAAGGAACCAAATGATAGGACAATGGCTCTGGATATCATTGTGACTGGTGTTCCTTTTAGAGAGCCAGACTTTAAACTTCACAGAGGATGGCAGCAGACACCATGTGAGTTGGGGATGTTTCTCCTTCTTTGGAGGACATGACTAAACAGGGCAGGAAGACCTAGACAAGGAACTGCTTGATCATTGGCTGACAGATCCAGGCAACAACACACTGATACCTGCTCTGGTTCTAAGTCTCTACCAGCAGTACTTGTTTCTGTTCTGATGAAACAAGCCCAGGAGCTGACACAAGTCTGAGCTGTGAGCCCTTGATCCTGGTTTGTCCTTGAAGTATGAGGCTGCTGACTGGAGTAACCATGTTTTTGACCTTGGGTAAGTGTTCTGTGTCTACAAAGGATGACTTGAGATCAACAGGCCATGGAGTGTTATTGCTCTCTGCTCTCCCTGTGCTCTATTCAGCCTTATAATGATGGGATTGAGAACTGATCTACACATTTGCTAGGGAGCACAAACTTCTACATAACAGGTTAAATCATAGCCGTGATCCCAGAAGACCACTTAGCAGTAACCAGTTTATAAGAAATCCCTGGGTTTATTGAGCAAAGGACCAATGAAATAAAGGTTATAGTCTCAAATTCTTGCCATATGTCTTTGGTCTCTATATAATAAACATCAATGATATTTTTCAGGACATAGATAAAAACACTGAAATAGGGGATAAGTCCACACAGTTGGGGAATGTTGTACCCTTGATCCATAGAATTACACTGATTTGTGGACAGGGGCTAATTTTATTTTCTTGACCCTTTAGGGACTGTGATTAATGCTAAGACCACCCAGCCCAGCTCCATGGATTGTGCTGAAGGAGAGGATGTAAACCTGCCTTGTAACCACTCTACCATTGGTGGAGATGAATATATACATTGGTATCGGCAAAATCCCAGTCAGAGTCCACAGTATGTCATTCGTGGCTTACGAGGCACAGTGAACAGCAGCCTGGCCTCTCTGACCATAGCTTCAGACAGAAAGTCCAGCACCTTGGTCCTGCCCCAGGTCACCCTGAGAGACACCGCTGTGTACTACTGCNGCAGCCTGGCCTCTCTGACCATAGCTTCAGACAGAAAGTCCAGCATCTTGGTCCTGCCCCAGGTCACCCTGAGAGACACCGCTGTGTACTACTGCATCCTGAGAGGGGCACAGTGGGACAGATGGGGCTGCACCTGTGCAATATCTCTGGTGGGAAGAAAGGGGGACAGAGTGGGGGGAGCAGTCATGAGAGAAAATCTAGAGTTATCTGGAAGGAGAGTCAGAGAGCAGTAAGAGATGAGGGAAATGAAGGGAAGGAAAAGGGGAGAAGACGGATAAAGAAAAGAAGAGAAAGAGGACAAGCAATAAGCACCTAGTTTATTGATGAATCTGAGAAGAATTTTGAGGAGCGTCAGAATCATAATTTTAGCACAGCAATAAAGTAAAGAGGTGTTAATAACTTGTTATGGCTCTTCCTCATGTAAATAAAATGTTGGTTTTAGTGTACTAGTCCCAACATAAGAAGTGGGAAACATACAAATACTTCTCCTTGTACCAAAGGCTTCTTTCATTTGGATCCAGGGCCAAGTCCAGACTCTGATGTGTTATAGTTGTTCCACTTACCATTTTTCTCTGTGAAAAACCTGAAATGTTATTGTTGCTAGTCTAGAACATTAATATTTCCCATGAAGAAGTTTTTTGAAAGAAACAAAAATTAACTGAATAATATTTTTTCCCTTTCTAGGCAGTTCTGGAAATGCTGCTTCTCTAAAGAGTTTTCATCACTTCTGATACTCCCTAAGCAGCACATGGGGCTTCCCTTTTGGCTCAGCAGTAAAGAATCTGCCTGCTGCAGGAGCTGCAGTAGAGAGATGAGGGTTCGATCCGAAGGTTGAGAGGATCCCCTGGAGGAGGGTATGGCAACCCACTCCAATAGTCTTGCCTGGGGAATCACATGGACACAAGAGCCTGGCGGACTACAGATCCTAGAGATGCAAAGAGTTGGACATGACTGAAGCGACTTAGCATGCAGGCGTGCAAGCAGCACATGGGTCTTACCCTGGTGGCACAGTGGTAAAGAATCTGCCTGCCAATTCAGGGGTCACAGATTCAGTTCCTGGTTGGAGAACTGAGATCCCACATGCCTTGGAGTAACCAGGCCTACGTGCTGCTACTACTGAGCCATCCTTGAACCGTCCATCTGAATGTTAGTGCCTGCAGATCACTTCACTTTCACTGCAGTGAAAATATCCAGGTCCTCATCTTCCATCCCTTTTACCCCCAAATCTACTGACAGAGAATCGATATTATTTACAAAGTCTGAGATAAGAGCACTTCATGTTGTTTCAAAAGCACTTATTTTTCTCTAAAACAGCTTACTAAAATTAACAAGCAGGATACAAAACTAGTAATCAACAGTTTTAAAAATGTATTTACAATAGAAATTTTCTTTAAAATAATTTATTTTAAAATTATAGATGATTTAATAAAAATAAAACTATTACAATTCAGTTTTCAATGTCAAGCTAGTGGTTAAGATAACTAAAATTGCTCTTTATGCAGCCCTAGTCTAAAATAAATATATATAACTTTTCAAGTAATCAGTACCATTTTTACAGAATCCATATATATGCATTACTATGTGATATTTGTTTTTCTCTTTCTGACTTACTTCACTTTGGTTAACAGGCTCTAATTTCATCCACCTCACTAGAACTGTCTCAAATGTGTTTTTTTATGGCTGAGTAATATTCCATTGTATATAGGTACCACAACTTTATCCATTCATCTGTTGATGGACCCTATTTGCAGGACAAAAATGGAAATGCAGACATAGAGAACAGACTTTGGACACACTAGGGTAAGGAGAGGGTGGGATGAACTGAGAATAGCATTGAAACGTATACATTACCATATGCAAAAGAGATAGCTAGTTGCAACCCACTCCAGTATTCTTCCCTGGGGGATTCCATGGACACAAGAGTCTGGCAGACTACAGACCCTAGAGTTGCAAAGAGTTGGACATGACTGAAGCGACTTAGCATGCAGGCATGCAAGCAGCACTTGGGGCTTACCCTGGTGGCTCAGTGGTAAAGAATCTGCCTGCCAATGCAGGGGTCACAGATTCAGTCCCTGGTTGGAGAACTGAGATCCCACATGCCTTGTGGCAACTAGGCCTACTTGCTGCTCCTACTGAAGCATCCTTGAACTGCCCATCTGAATGTTAGTGCCTGCAGATCACTTAAATTTCACTGCAGTGAAAATATCCAGGTCCTCATCTTCCATCCCTTTTACCCCCAAATCTACTGACACAGAATTGATATTATTTACAAAGTCTGAGATAAGAGCACAAACTAAAATTATCTTCATATGGTTTCAAAAACGCTTATTTTACTCCAAAGCAGCTTACTAAAATTAACTAGCAGAATACAAAACTAGTAATCAACAGTTTTAAAAATGTATTTACAACAGAAATTTTCTTTAAAATAATTTATTTTAAAATTATAGATGTTTTAATAAAAATAAAACTTACAATTCAGTTTTCAATGTCCAGCTAGTGGTTAAGATAACTAAAATTGCTCTTTATGCAGCCCTAGTCTAAAATAAATATATATAACTTTTCAAGTAATCAGTATCATTTTTACAGAATCCATATATATGCATTAATTTGCGATATTTGTTTTTCTCTTTCTGACTTACTTCACTTTGGTTAACAGGTTCTAGTTTCGTCCACCTCACTAGAACTGTCTCAAATGTGTTTTTTTATGGCTGAGTAATATCCCATTGTATCTAGGTACCACAACTTTATCCATTCGTCTGTTGATGGACCGTATTTGCAGGACAAAAATGGAAATGCAGACATAGAGAACAGACTTTGGACATAGTAGGGGAAGGAGAGGGTGGGATGAATTGAGAATAGCATTGAAACATATACATTACCATATGCAAAAGAGATAGCAAGTGGGAAGTTGCTGTATGATGCAGGGAGCTCAACACGGTGCTCTGTGACAACCTAGAGGAATGGGGGGAAGGTTCAAAGGGAGGGGACGTATGTATACCTATGGCTGATTTGCATCATTGTATGGAAGAAGCCAACACAACATTGTAAAGCAATTATCCTCCAATTAAAAATAAATAAATTTAAAAAATAAATGTAAAAAATACTGTTTAATACAGCAAAGTGTTCCAGCCAATAGTAGCAACTTCCAATACTGTGCTGATTCATGAGGACCCTTTAGAACCACAAGTGAGAGCATAAGAGAAACAAAAGCTGGATCCTCAGCACTTCTGGGAAAAAGCATTTCATTATGGAAGAATCTACTGTATCCATGCCATATGAGAGGAAGATGGGGCTATACAGTTAGCTTTTGCTTTCTTTACCCTAAAATTCTCCCAAATTCCTAATCAGGGTCTGCCGTCTCCTACATGTTCTCAGAAAATGTCCCTCGGATCATAAAATAATGATCTTTCTATTTCCTACTCTCACCCGCCCCTGGCCAGCACATTCTGAGTTGGTTGCGGTGGGAGGTGGGGCGTCCTGTCAGCGTCACCTGAGCAGGATTTGTTGGGTGAGCTGATTGGCTGCAGGAGCAGGAACGACTTATGACACTCACTCCCTCAGGGTTTGGTTAGGTGTCTTGCAGTGAAAATGTCCCAACAAGAAGAGGAAGCATCATGAAGAGGCTAGCAGGCGCTGTGCTGGGGCTTCTGTTTGCCCAGGTTTGCTGTGAGTTGGGGCTGCCCCACAGGGAACCTGGAGGAGTGAGGCGCTGCTCTATTGTTGAGGGAGGAGAGGAGCTGACAAGTCCTGCAGACTTTCTGTCCTTCTCATCGTCTGTGGGGATGGGGGAGGGGGGCACTTTCAGGGTTTAGTAGGAGTTACAGTGACCCTGACAGTGACTGTTTCTCTTTCCTCATCAGGTGTGCGAGGGGCCGATGTGGAGCAGAGTCCCCCAGCCCTGAGTCTCCAGGAGGGAGCCAGCTACACGCTTCGGTGTAATTTTTCCACTTCCCCACAGAGTGTGAACTGGTATCTTCAGAACCCTGGGGGCCACCTCATCCACCTGTTTTCCGTTCCTTCAGGGACAAAACAGGATGGAAGATTAAAGGCCACGACAGTCCCTGCAGAACGCCGCAGCTCACTGCACATTTCCTGTCCACAGACCACAGACTTGAGCACTTACTTCTATGCTGCACAGCACGGTGCTCCCCAGGCACCTGCAGCCTCTACACGAACCTGCAGCCGAGGCTCCAGACACACCCTGCTGTGTAGATGAAACACATACATACAAACACACATGCATCAGTGTGTGCATAACAAGTCTTAATATATTTAATAAAACTGGAATTATACAGAATTTATTCTTTGACCAAGATGGAAATGATTAGAAAATCAAGTGCAAAGAAATGTTTCTAGAAACTCCAAAATATTCGGATTATATGCACTAACTTTAAAATAACTCTAGGTTAAAGAAGCGATTACAATTGCTATTAGAAAATATTTTGAAAGTAAATATTGTGAGAGCATATTATATAAATATGTCTGAAATGCAGCTAAAATAATACATAGAAGAAAATTTATCTTTTTAAGTACTTATATTACTAAATAAAGACGTTGAAAAACTGTTATGAAGACTCAGCAAAAGGTGATAGAAAAGTAAATTAAACCCAACATAAACTGAAAGATGTAATAATAAAATGTTCAATTGGTGAAATACAAAGAAAACTATAGTGATAACCATGAAAAAGAAATTTAATTTTGCTAAAATGATTAATAAAATCAATATATTCCTAGGTATAATTATCAAGGGAAAAAAGAAAAAAAGATGAATTATTCATATAAATATAAGTAATAAAAAAGAGAACTATTCTACAGGCTCTATAATGTTATAAATGTAATGAAAGAATATCATTAACAAGTTTATGTCACTGAGTAAATGTGTAGAAGTAGATCCACACAGGTCAGGAAAACTTATTTTTTGACAAATGCAAAGACAATTCAATAGAGGTAACAACATAGTCTTATGAGCAAATGAGGTTGGGATGATTGTATATTCTTAGGAAATAATTGAAAATTGACATAAATATCACATCTTGTACAAAAAATTGTGTACAGTCTCAAAATGAACCATATATCCAACTACAAAATGTAACATTAAATCTTTTTGGAAAAACATAAGAGAATATCTTCATGACCTGGGTTAGACAAAAAGATTTTTGACATGACATCAAAAACACAATCCATACAATATAAATAACTGAGATTTCATAAAAATTAAAAATGTTTGCTCTGT